ATTTTTATCATGGAGATAGCCTTTTAAACTTCTGCTAATCTGCATATTATAGTAAAGCTGTACGTGTAATTAATAGATACATATTTACCATGCTAAATATCCCCTGGATGCTTCATAGTCTGTGGATAATTAATCAGATCTTGATTACTTTAGGAAAATAAAAACTCTAGATAAAACTCTTCTGCCATTTTGGTCAATAGTTTTCAAGACTAGAAGGGAAATGTATAGTCTAATCCTCCTGCATAACACAGGCCACAGACTATTCCTCATTAATTCCTGTATTCAGCCCAATAATTTGTGGATGAACTGGAGCATATATGCTATATTGTTACAATGTCTCTGGACGTGTAGTCTCTTCAAGAGTGGAAAACCAGTTAAAATGTAGTCAAGGGAGAATTCCAAACTTCTCGGTTTAGCTACTTTGAGCCATTCCCTACCCTCCACCCCCCAACTGTAGACTTCATATAGATCAACACAAGTGACTTATTTTTGGGAAGGAAGATGTTATGTGAAGACTTCAGATCTCCATTCCGTGAACAGAAGAAAATCTCTGTCACCACCTGAAGAAATAAAACAAATGTGTCAAATAATTAAAATGGAAACAAATTATTAACGGCTTGTCCTGAATGAAGTACTGTTGAATACAGAATGCATAAAAGAATTCCAGGATTATAAAAATTTATGGAAAAGGTCCTGGCCTATAAATTGCTTTCTGTCTTAATTATACTGCTCTCAGTTATTATGGGATATAGGTCAAAGCACAGCCCCTGCGAAGAATCAGTTTTTAAACAAAAATGCTCTTATGGTTTTCTTTCTATGTTCTGTCCCCCTTACCTCTTTAAATATGTTAATATTTACATATTATTTTAATTGGAGCATTTCATTAGTTGTGTTAATATGAATTCATATTTTGCATAATGTCTTCTGCAATGTCACAAAAAATTTATTAGGAACTGTTGGATTCTCATCTTTCTGTTACTAACTTGTGTGACTGTAGGCAAATCAAGTGCCAGCTCTGCCTTACTTTTATCTTTCTGTAGAAGAGATATAAAAATGCACAGGCATTGTATGAGGCATAATTGATGTTTCAGAATGCTGTATAAGTGCTGAGTATTATGACTGCTTGAATAACATGTATTAATAAAGTTTTTAAAATCTTGTATATAATAAGCCATACAATAAAATGTTTGCAGATCTATCAGTGAGATTGCACTTCTGTATAGAAGATAACATAGGGTTAGGAGGCCCTTTGCACTATGAAACTAGAAAGTGATGAGCCAGTCTCTTTGACTTGTATAACTACAAAACAGATTGCTGAAAATAATCCAGCCCTCTCTCGTTTATCATCCTGATCAGCTCTGGAACAGACTAGGCCATTTAGTATAGCTTTGCAGTAGGTTTTTGACACTAAAAAAGGTTAGTCTTCAAGGCTGAGAAAGTGATAGGACTAAAATTGTGGTATGTCCAGAGGATGACATAACTACACATCTATTCAGGGCAGATCTTACGCTATTAATTTCTGTTGCCAGTAGAATCAGGTATAAATTTGCTGGGCTTTATATAAAGATTTTTCTAAACATGATAAACTGAAAGAGAGAGAGGATTTTTTAGGCCCGTTACTGAACCTAAAATGTTCATGATGGAGTTTGCCTGTGTTTGGTGTGAAGCGGTAGCCTTGTGTTTCAGCAATAGCCTCTAGTTATGGTAATTGTACCAATTGGTCTCTGTAAAGCTGTGACTATCAGCCCAGGAAAAAAACGAAGCATGACTTCAGAGGGATGGCAGTAGCATTTTTCCATATGTGCATACTACCAAATAATGTGACACCTGATAAGCAGTGAGAGCAGCTTTTCAGAACCATTGACTTTAGCCATGTTAAGAGAGCTGACCAGTCATAAAAATAAACTTTGACAGTGTACATTTAAATTATTTATGTATGGGTCCAGGAGAAGGACAGTAACAGATAGTCTTGGAATTAATCTTATTTGTCTCCAAATGATGTTCCGGTATGCTAATAAAATACTTGACTGAATGCTTTACTGTTAGGCAGGGATAGGAGAAGTACAGACGTACAAAAATACAGGGATAGGAAAAATAAACACCACTTCTCCTAGATCTTGTTTGAGACAGAAAAAGGATAGCTATCCTTTATAGTATGTAGTAGTTATTGGGCCCCAGCAAAAGACGGGAGGGAAAAGAAGCAACTCTCTACCTCTTGCTTGCTGCTGTCAGTGACCCCTCACACTTGGACCAAACATAATGAAGTTCTCACTCTCTACTCTTGCTGAGTGCCAAGTAGAGGTGGGCAGGGGAAAACAGAAAAGGTCCTATTACCCCCAATCTGGCAGCAGCAGCCGCCAGCGGGCCCACTGGGACCAGTCTTGAGCCAGCACTCCTAGCAGCCAACTCAATGGAGAAATTGATGTTTTTACTGGAACTGATTCTGAAATCTTGTACTTACAAGCGCCAATTCATATTGCAAACTCACTTTAGGCTTCAAAAGTGAACTATTTAGTTCAATCCAGAATGGATAATCTGAACCTGATGTCAAAAATATCTTATTTGAGCCTCAGAGGGCCGAAAACGATAAGAAAATGTAACTGAACAACTACTTACTGGCAAGAATATATTTGGAAAAAATAAAATTAATTTGTCATTCACATACAATTGCATGTGGTTAGCTGGATTAAATTAGATTTACAATGGAATTACCATTATAATTGTACTCATCATTTATTAGGGGACAGCTCCCGCCCTTAAAAATATAGATCCCTTTTTTCCATTATTAGTGGGACACTTAGATACACTTCTGAAGTGAATTATGTATCTAATTCTGCCTGCATTTAGTAATTCTGTCAGAAGTGGTCAGTTGATGAAGTTACTCACTTAGCATAAAATAGTGCTTTTCACTAGATGAACTGAGTCTCTGCTGCATGGTATTTACACACCAGAACAGAATTAGAAAATGAATTATGTTCCCTTAACACAGAGATGGAGATCTTGTTTATACTTTGAGTGCTTTAGATCATTGTGACAATATATAAAAGACTATGTGGTATTGAGTATTATAAAATCCAATTATCTGAAATTCATTTCCTGTTGATCTCTGTTAAACGACAGCAAAGCCTTTGTTCCTGAGTTTAGTCCTGCAGAATTTGAATGCTCTCAAGTTAAAATGCCTTGTCATGTGACTGGAAATCTTGAGCTATAGTGAAGAATGAAAGGAACATAATTATCCAATACTGAAAACACCTTTTCTTGAAAACAAGATCAACATTTGATAAGAATTCCTCCCAAAGGGAAGCAATCCTAGGCTGATCTGCTGTCAGAGACAGGATACTGGGTTAGATGGACCATGAACCTGACCCAGTATGGCTGTTCTTGTGATTGTGGGAAGGTTTTTTTTGTTTTGTTTTGTTTTTTTAAACAAAGCACTACACATAAAGAAAACATTGCTTGAGCTAGGTGAATGGGTTGGGTTGAGACTGGGGATCTGTTACATCTCCCTCTCAAGCACACAAACTAAGTGTGCCATTTCGTTGCTTCAGTAGGACAGTTCTTGTGCTCCTACATCATTCTTAGAATCTCAACTCAGCTGAAAGCATAGCAGCCTCATCCCCAATTCTGTAAGCACTGAGCTTCTGTGGAAGCACTATATGTGCAATCTGCTGTTCCTACTTGGGGCTGGGGTGTGATGCGAGTCTGGTAGATGGTAAGGTTTGCATTGCTGGCAGGTTATGTCTCCAGTGCCACAGGGGAAGAGTCTAATCTCTTGAGCAGCCTAGCCCCTTGCACTGCTGGCAGGAGCTGCTTTCTTCCCTGTCTCTTTTCCATGCAGCAGAAGCACTATGCTGTTTCATCTGTTCCTCTGCTGTTGCCTGCATGGCATTACATAGGGGAACATGCAGTTGTTGCCACCATTTATGAGTTTGAGAGGCATGAAAAGGCTCCTGGCAGTCAGCCCAGGGCTAGGCAGGGTGAGAGCCACAGTTTCCCCCCCATTCTTCCTGCAGCCCTGTTAAAATAGCCTCTTGGCTTAGCAGCAACACTCCTTCCTCAGTCTGTTTTCCTTTTCCCCTCAGAAATATTTCCCCTAGAAAAAGTGGTAGCACATTGATGTTTCCCCCCCCCCCAATCCTCCCACATCTGATGTGTTGGGTCCTTGTAGGAGAAGACAATGGTGGTGAAACTTTTGTTTACTCCCTTGGTGTGACTCATGATGCATTTCATTTAAGCAGCACCTCTACCCAACCTTAGCCTTCAACCATAAAATGAAGATAGAAGGAGAAAAAGAGAAATCTCAGGCTTACAAAATTAATACTCTTTTGTTGCCAAGGACTTTGAATAGCTGAAAGTGTAGTGGGCACAGGGTGGGGAAGAGGGGGAAATAGGCCATTCATATCTAAAACTGTTGTTAGTGAACAGGAACATCCTTACAAATAATAGTGAAAAGTTCTTGTGGCACTTGAACCAGATTTCAGCAAATTTAGGCAAGGCAATGCAACTAGAAAAGCTTCCAGATTCTACAGTCATACTGTAAATCTGGAAGGAAACTTTTGCTGTTAAGAATTTCTGAAGGCCTGTTTGTTCTTTGGTTAAAAAGTGCCAGTTGGTTAAATTTACAATTTATAAAATAAATGTACAGAGTAGGTTTTATGAGGTTATAACCTAGGGGGTATTCTTAGATTATAATCATATTAACTGTGGACCTAGGAGTGAAAAGGATTAAAAAGACCCAAATGAGTGGTTTTTCTCAAATCTTCTTTTTATTTTAAGGTATGCAGTTTGCATTATTTTAATTCATGAATGTACCGTATTGTGTGTTTAATTAAATACTGGGCTTCTTTAAATCTATACTTTGACACTGAGGTAGACTATGTTCAGCGTTGTCTAATAATTTCACCTTTTGGTTTGTTTATTTATTTTGGTTAGCAATGTCATATTATTAATTACTTGATTTTATTGATTATTTTCATGAGCACACTTTACTTTTAAAGCAGAAGCTGAGGCGAAATGTGAACTTACTTGAGAAGCTGGTTATGCAGGAGACGTTGTCATGTCTGGTAGTAAACCTCTATCCAGGGAATGAGGGTTATTCGCTGATGCTCAGGGGGAAAAATGGATCAGGTAATATTCCTGCTGCTTAACTATTTTCATCTTCAAAGTGCTTTATTAGTGCTAATTAGTCAGTATGAGCCATGCTGGCTGCTTGCATTTGGTGCTTGTTTCTGTTCTAAAGCAATCTTCTATACAATTCTGTTCTTGAACTAAAAATGTCCAAGCACCTGATCATGGATGATGCTCATACGAGGATAGGAATAAATTCTAAATTAGCAAGCTTTCGCCCTCTGCATAGTCCTTATTTCTGTATATAACATTTATTTATCCAGAGACAAATTCATCCCTTTTCAAGGGTGTGTGGCCTCTACTACTTAAATCCAGCCTATCCCAGGCCTTCATCCCCTGCCAGTCTTCTTGTCCCAGTCTTTCCAAGTCTCTTTGCCTAGCCAGGCCGTGGTCTCCCTATTCAAGGTCCCTTGCCCAGGCAGTCCCACTCTCTGCTGCCCCCAGCTCCTCATCCAGTCTCAGGCACTTCCCTCTCTGTGCTCCTCATCCTAATCTTCCTTCCTCCTCTGGGCTGCTTGTCCCAATCTATTCCCTCCACTACTCCTCCACACTCAGGTCCAATTCATCCCCTCTGCACTCAAGTTAAGTTGCTTCCTACATGCTGCCTGAATGCCAGCTGGTTGAGCATTGAGGGCACTGGAAAGACAGTTGTCCTGCTGTCTGTACTGTGCTGGGTGCTATGACGGCCCACAACAGCTGGATGCAGCAATGGCAGGGGAAGATCTTCTCAGCCCATGTAGCCCTGGGCTGGAACGTGCCCAGTCAAGATAGACTCTTCAGAGCATTTAGCTGCCAAATTCCACTAAGTCTCTACTGAGTATGTGTGAACTAAATTTTTTTTCGAAGTTTTATAACTTGGCCAAATTTGGGAACTTTTCCAGGGGACCAGCAAAAAGAAATGCCCCTGCCAAATTTCAAGTCCCTGCTTCAAAGCACAGAGGCACTAGAGATTCTCAGTGAAACAGTTGTAAGAATTTTTTTTAACTTGGGCAAAACAACAGTTTTTTCTCTAATCTCATTTTTCCCTCATCTCACTGAGCCATTTTTAAAAAAAACTTTCTAGGAAAAATCAGCCTTAGGCAGACACAAAACATAGGAAATTTCAGCCCATATGGTTAAATTTGGTAAAATTATAAGCAGCTAAAAAAAGGGTCTGAAAATGGGAAATGTCAGGTAACCTTAATCGTAGCTGGTAGTACCCACTGTGCTTATAATTAAGGAGGAACGTTTTCAAAAGTAACTAGTGATTTTATGTGCCCAATTTGAGACACCTAACATGTCCTGATTTTCAAAGGGCTGGCTCTCAGCATTTCATGACAATCAAGCCCTTTTAAGTTTTATCAAGTTGGACACTCAGAAACTGAGGTACCCAAAATCACTAGTCACTTCTGAAAATGTAGGCCTAATTAAAGCTGTTTTGTACTTTTTAGTCAGGAACAGGAACTTCAGAATATTAATCATATTGTAGTGCACCCTTTGGGAAAACAAGATATTTAATACAAATTTCTACAGTAAAATACAATAAAATAATAGACAATTTCTAGGTGATTTCTTAAAAAATAAATTAGCAATTTCTTTAATACTTTGTGTTGTTTGTGTCACACAGTTCAAGGCAAATATCAGGTGAGACAGATTTGGAAAGCAGCTTTCTGCACTTCCTACAACAAACAGGAAATTTAGTTTGTCTATATAGGGACTGTGTTATTGTTGAAACATGTAGCCCTCAATCCTGCAAACACTTATGTACATAGTTAACTTTCAGTACGTGAGTAGTCTCATTGAAGCCAATGGGATTACTTATGTGCTTGAAGTTAAGCATGTGCATAAGTGTTTGCAGGATCAGGGATGAATACTTTAGGGTTGTTTGCACTAGTTTGCTTGTTTTTTAATCGTTTCTATCATTTATTGCTGAATTAGTTCTACTTGCTGATACTGAAAGAGACATTTCTTGTCTCCCTGTAGTTTAGGTTTACAGAGAACTCATTTTGGGGCCAAATTCTGCTCTTATAGAGATAAATAAGAGTTTTGCCATTTACTGCAATGAGAGAAGGATAAAGCCAATATTAAATGGCTTGGAAATATAGTCAAAAGCATGATAATGGATATTATGCAAAGAAAATTGGGATTTGGGATAGTTTTCAACAGCCCCACTTTTTCTTTTTAACGTGCTTATAATTAGCATTTTACTTTTGAAGCTGTAGTGGGAAGAAATAGATAAGGCATTGCATTCTTTTTTTGAATTCAGATTCTGAGACCATTCGAATGTCTTATGAGGAAGGTGAACTCCTTGAATATTTGGATGCAGAGGAGCTGCCACCTATTTTGGTTGATCTTTTAGAAAAATCTCAGGTAAGAAAGTCTTTACAATTGAGGGTTATTCTTTTAATCAGTCTCTGATCATGTGAAGGGCACCCTCGGGGGGGTTCTGTACATCTGCAGTGAGCAGTTTGAAGCATCAGGGTCATAATGCTTTTAGTGTCCAAAATAAAACATCTTGTTAGCATCCAAAACAAATAAATTCATGCACATTTTGTGTTTTTACCATGGTTTAGTCTAAGATGACAAACCGCTATGGCTGTTATGCACCAGAAAAGTGCACTTTAGTGAAATGTTTGAGATTGGAATTTCATAAATGTAGGTAGTCAAGTTTTCTGTCTTAATGTTAATATGCTCTTTTGGAGCTTGGGTGTTGGAACTGTTTACGTGTGTACTAAAGATCACTACACTTGACTATGCCTAGTGGTTTAGAACTCTTTATTGCTTTAGCTATCGTAATAATAAGCACAGCAACAAGGACCATATTATGCAAGCGGAAGCAACTGTACAACTCCCACTGACCTCAGCAAAAATGACACCATCCTGTGCTGGGGATGAATTTGGTTTTATGTCTGGATGGGGTATATATATTTACAGAGTGAAAACATAGCTGGAGTTCTCAGCTAGCTATAAGAGCATTGCATGAGTGGCCAAAAGAATCAATTCCAATGGTGGGTCCTGAGACAATTCTATAAAATATATATTTACAGAAATATTTTTGTTTGTTTCAAACAGGTTAATATTTTTCATTGTGGGTGTGTCATAGCAGAAATACGTGACTACAGGCAGTCTGGTAATATGAAATCTCCAACATACCAAAGCAAACATGTTCTTCTGCGTCCAACAATGCAGGTAAGAGGTACATCTCATGAAATGGTTTAAACTACCCTGAGTGGGATCTCCTTTTTCTCACTCTTTAAGATAAATGTCATAATAGAAATTAACCATCACTTTTAAATATTTTATATACAAATATATTACAGTTGTATTATCATATTTATTTGAAAAGTAACCAAAAATTTGCCTATTTTTCCAGACTTTAATTTGTGATGTGCATTCTATAACAAGTGACAACCACAAATGGACACAGGTGAGTTTCCTTGTCAATTTAAATCTTACAATGATATAAAGGATGGAACAAAGCAGTTTTGAAAAATATATTAAACTGACATTGTACAGACCTTGGATTGTTTTAGGGTGATTGAGAGTCTGTTTAATGATCCAGAGATGTGCCAAATTAGCTCACTAGCAGCCTGATCTTGCGAGATGCTGAGCACCCTCAACTCCCACAGAAGACAATAGGTGTTGAAGACGCTCAGCACTTAATCTTTGATTATATAGGATAGTCTAACTAGTCTACCCTCCTCACCCTCCATCATCTTCATCATGTAGGCCCAGGTTGGCATCTGAAGAAGGGCTCCATAACACTATACTACTCTCCTGCGTAGAAGCATTTTCCCACTGGTACTGATAGCAGAGTGAAACTGACTAGGATTATGCAATTCTAGTTGGTTTAATACATCAGAAATTACTAGTGGCAAAGTACATCTGCTGAGAAGCACAGACATATTCAAGTTCTTTGCCACAACCAGTATCTGTTGTCTCATATATATCAGTTGTGATAAAATAAAACTCTGCCACCTCATCAAGATACATCATTGACAGACTACTGATTTGCTTATTTCTTGTATTTTGTGTGTATGTGTGTGTCTTTTCAGTATTAGTCTTTTTTTTTTTTTTGCTATAAAAAATCTAGAAGTTCCTCAATCTACAATAGAGCATAATGATTCCATGATTCCTAAACAATAAATATTATATTTTCCTGGGTTAACAATCCAAAACAAAGTTATCAAATTGTGCGCGCATATGTATACACACAGTCAGATACCATGATGATTAGCATGAAATAAAAGCCTATATAGATATACAAAACTTCCAGTTTTTTTCACATAATTATAATTTGCATATATTATAGGAAGACAAACTTCTACTTGAGAGCCAACTTATCTTGGCTACAGCAGAGCCTTTGTGTCTTGATCCTTCGATAGCAGTAACCTGCACAGCAAACAGACTCCTCTATAACAAGCAGAAGATGAACACTCGCCCAATGAAACGGTAATAATTAGTCTGTGATATGTCAGGACATATATTAACCTGTTTAGAATTGTACAGATTATAGAAAAAATAAGAGAAATCATGCACTAACATGTTGTTTGTTCATAACCATGATAAAATTCATTTAAATTGAATAAGCTTTGAAACTCTTTGGAAATTTTTATTTTACTTTTAATACATTAATGTTTTAAGAAGGACTCTTGGAAAAATATTTTTAAGGAAAGTCAAAAGTTTGTCTTATAACAGTGTCAGTTATTACTTGTAATCTGAATCTTATTAAGTACTTGTTCTGTGTAATGCTTTTGCAATCTCTTCCAAATAGGAAATGCTCTAAGGCCTAGTAAGACAGGGATTATACTAAATTGCAGCTGTTAATATATTAAATGTATATTTAATGTGTGTGTGTGTGTGTGTATGTATATATATATATAATATATGCACATGGATTATTTTCTTACAATGCCATACTGAATGAATACCAAATTGTATTGCTTCCTTTGGTCATGTCCATATTTTCTCCATGGCTTATAATCAAAATGTGAGGTGAGGCAGACAGCAGCTGTGAACAATGTTAAAGATGAGTATATGGTGTTAAAAATGTTTTATCTTAAACCTTCCTTGCACTTTGCCAAAAATTAATTAAAGGCTGTGGTTCACCAGGATAATGTTTCACGGGTTTTATTTTATGAACATGGGATCTTATTTTCATGACCTGACTTGAATTTATAAATTAGAAAAAATATTCAACTATATAACAGGATAAAATCCAGCAAAATTAATGTGATTTTCTATTGCTTAAATGGTTCAACAAACTTAGAGCATCAGTGTCATGCAGAAGGTCTCGATCCTGTAAACATTTATGCACAAGTTTAATTTTAAACAACCAGTGGAATTGTTCATGTGCTTAAATTTAAGCATGTGTATAATTGTTTGGAGGATTAGCGTCTGAATGGTTTTAAGAGCAGTGTGGTACCAAACTACTATACAATCTGTTAGAATAGCTTCATTTTTGAGTATGGTTGTGTTCACAACTATTTTACAGTAGCCTGAAATGGTTCACTGTTATTTTACTAAGAAATACATATATGTATGCTCAGTAATATGTGAAATATATAAATGATCTGCTAGAATTAACAAAGTAGGTGTCAAAATGGATATTAGGTGCTCAGGTGTGCAGAGATTAGCTAAATAAATTCATATGCTAGCTTCAGTATGATTGTAATTAGTAGCTTTCATATCTATAAGTGTATGGTATAATACTAACATAGCTAAGGATCCTGTCTGGGCTGGAGAGAGTGGCAGCACTGTCATATTTTTTAATGTAATTTTAACTTTTTGTAGGTTTTGCACAAAGATTTGGCAAGATGAAATAAATTTGAACAATATTCAGTTTTTAATACATTTTTTGTAATATTTTAACTGTTGTCAAAATTCACAAAATTCTTCCATCCTAATTTTTATTCCAAGAATATTTGCCACAAATATTGCTCATAAGAACAATAACATGTTTAAAAGTAGATGGATCACAATTATGTGTTATGCAACAACATAAAAGATGACCATTTAAAAAGCATATTACACAGCACATCTTTTTGTTACAATGTGACTGGCTTTTTCCTGTGTGTATTAGCACACATGTGGTAGCATGTTTCAGTCTGTTGTTTTACAAGCACATTTCTCAATATGCCATAGGTGTTTCAAGAGATATTCCAGGTCATCTCTGAATCGGCAGCAGGATGTGGCACATTATCCAACTCCACCTCAGCTCAGACTACTTGACTACTTACAGAAAAGAAAGGAAAGGAAAGGAGCCCAGCAGTATGACCTCAAAATTTCTAAAGCTGGAAATGTAAGTATATTGCAAGTTAGAATGGCGAACATCATTATTTATTTATTTATTGTTAATCATTAGAATACAGATGCTCACATTGTTTTGTACTTTTCCCCCACCTCTCAGTGTGTAGATATGTGGAAACAGAACCCTTGCTACTTGACTGCACCTTCTGAAGTTGATGTAAGTTCAATTGTTTCTAACCACATTTGGGTCAGTAAAAATTTCACTTATTCAACATTTTGTGTATCAAGCAGGAAGATAAATGATAAAGCAGTGAGCAATGATGGCCCTCTTTGGGACGTTGTGCTGGGTTTGGGCACAGTGCCTTTGGGAACAGCTGCTAGAATGCAATTGCTTCACTCTCAGTGTGACGGGATCCCACACTTATTCCACAATGTGAGCCACACTCTTAGGCAATAGATTTTTCACAGCTAAATAAAGCTCTGCTAAATCTATTTAAAGATTATGAGAATTCCTCAATGAAAGCATTAGAGCAAAGTAACAGAAGTATGAAATCATTAAGGCTCTTCTCTACACTTGTTTCAAATGCATTATATTCTGATATCTGCTTTTTCTTTTAAGGTGGAAAAATATGCCAAAGTGGAAAAGTCTGTCAAACCCGATGACTCTCAACCTACTGTCTGGCCAGCACATGTGAGTAATTTAGACTTCTGGCCAACCTTTTCTCCCCCTAGTTAAGATGCTGCTTCTGTCAACAAAATGTAAATGAGATCATAAAGAACATTTTTTTCTACAGTCTAGTCTTCTATAAAAATTTGGAAGGGAGATTGTCACGGGGAAGTGTAATTTCACACATTGGTGCATTGGGGTGATTATCAAACTAAAAGAATAACTATAATTTATTACTCATTGGCACACAAAATAGTAAAAATAATTTACTCTTAAATTCCAGTCCTTAACCTCAGTTTTGTAGTGTGAGTATGATGCAATGGAATTTTGGCTTTGCCAACACTGCCTACCCACATTGCAATAATCAGCTAGCCAAAGTACTGTAATTTCCCTGTATAATAGCAGGACATTGGGAAGCTGCTGCCACTACTGTAGTAACAAAAATGTAATAATTTACAAGAAGCAGTGTTTCTTGCTTTCAATACACCTTTGTTTTGTTTCTAATCCTCATATAATGGGTGAGTCAGGAGAGCTGCCTTTACAGTAATAACTCTTGCAGTAGATTCTGGAAGGGAGGTCATAGAATCATAGGGTTAGAAGGGACCACAGTCTAACCCCTGTAGCACGTCAGCACATAGGGCTATTTTAGGCAGAATGCTCTACAGGTTTTTTTCCTTCACTGTCCCAATGAAACCTATAGATCAGCTGCAAATTGCATGATCCAATACACAAGAAAATGCTTAAGTTAATTAGAAATCAGTTTATAGATACTTCATAATGGAATCGCCAACATACTGTGCCCTCTTTATCTTCAGCATCCATCTCTTTGTCCTTGCAGGTTACTTTATGTTACCAAAATCCACCATCTTGGCAGTATGCTTTTCTTGTAGTACCTAATTTTCATCCCTATGGCATCCTATGCAACCATTGTTCTGTGTTGTGTATATAACTACTTTTAGATATTTGCAGTTTTGTAGCTGTATTGGCCCCTGGATATCAGAGAGACAATGTGGGTGAGATAATACCATTTACAGTTGGTCCAATAAAAGATATTCCCTCACCCACCTTGTGTGTCTACTTTTAGATGTGTTTCTTCTGTCTGCACTTCCGATATCTATCATAAATAGTTACGGGTTCTCTGTATTTCTTGTTTTTTAAGTAACTTATTTATCTCTCCCATCCTATTAGTTAGAGAATTTCTTCTGGAAATCATTTTCCATTCCAGCTGAGCAAAGTGACATTTAGGGACTACTAGATTGTGTTACTTGCAATTTGTATTTTGTAGACTTCTGACATATATTGATCAGCCTTTTCTGTTGACTTGTTTTTGAAAAGATTCTACGTATAATGTCGTTCTGTCTTTTAGGAGATAAGAGATGATTATGTGTTTGAATGTGAAGTTGGTAATCAACTTCAGAAAACAAAACTGACCATTTTTCAGTCCCTTGGTAATCCGCTGTACTATGGTAAAATACAGACGTTCAAAGGCAGTGAGGAGAATGACAGCCCAGTAACTCCATCACAGTAAGTAGCGTGTATATTTAAAAAGGTCTATTCTATGATAATTGAGGGAAAACCAGACGTATTTACCTGCTTAGATCATACTGACAAATGTGTACCTAATTACACTAGAAAACTCAAAATGTGGTTTAAGGATTTCATTTCAGAAATTTAAAAATATCTAACCTACATGTGCCAATGTCATCTTAAAAAGAAAAGTAGTAAATTGTGTAATGCATAAATTCAGATACAACCACAAGAATCTCATATCTTCCCACATTAAAGTTATATTGGAACAAAATCTCAATTTGGAGGGACAATTGAAGACATTTCCATGACACATTTCCAGTGGTGTTCCTATTTTCAGTACTTACATTATGGTCGTGCTGAAAATGTGTCTGGCACTGTACAAACATATAGGAAGGGACACAGTCCTTTATCCAAAGAGTTTACAATCACGAACAAGGATGATGACTGGTACATATGTTCATAATTCTGTTTTAAAATATATTGACTATATATAGCTGGCTGCAGCTGTCCCTTTACCTACCCATTGTTAGTTCTTATTTTAGGCTCCAATCTTGCAAGGTGCTCTGGATACTTTGCCCCTGCACCTGCGCAGATTTCCATTGATTTCAATGGGATGTAAGGGTCTGCCCACTTGCACAAAGCAGCTAGCATGATCAGGTTTTGTTAACTGCTACTATTTTGTATATTTACCTAGTGTTTAATCCTTCTCTATTACTTTTTAATTTTAACCATTTCATACTGCCAAGTTTTAGTTATTTTTAACCCTTGTCTCCATCTATGCCCATTTATTTTATAGAGCTCTGTGCTAATCTTAAGAAGTCACTAAAGGTTGTGCACTGGAACTGGAATTTTCAAAGGCACCTAAGAGAATTTTTGATTGAAATTGGCTCCTTTGAAAATACCAGTTTGGTGCACAATGTTAAGAATTTATTTGGATTTGGTTCCCTAAGTCTCTTAGGTGCCTTTGAAAATTCCAGCCTCAAAAGTCAGGGATGCAAAAAATGTATTCCCCTTATTTTCCTGTAAAGTAGTTTGCTTTTTGAATCCCTGGAAACAACATGAATAATTCTGAAGTAACCCTAACAATTCTCATTGCAAATTTCTAATCTGAATGGAATGAGATAAATTTTTCAGTAAAATGTGAACGTGATTAACAAACAAGAAATATTTATTTAGAGCTACATCTTGTGAGAAAGCATGATTGGGAAAGATAAATAATGAGAGAAATCAGGAAAACTAAACCTTTCTTTTAACATTCTAGTGCTTTGGTGTTTCTTGACTACACCCAAATCACACTCTCATTGCATCTGAAATCCTCTCCACACCATGAATCTGCATGAGCCAGAAGAAGCAATAGATTGGTCATATTTTCCAGGAGAACTGTACAAAGAGAGAAAAAATAGATTACTGGGAAAAACCTGGGAGATCTGTAATCCTTGATTTATATTGGTTATAATTTCCATGCTAATTTCCTAAATTGGTCTGAATTGGACCAAAAAACTTCCTTTAAGGGGTATGGGTATTACATTAAAATGATATTAGTGAAACAGATTTCATGTTCTATTTTTAAAATATATTTACTTCAGACTGAATCCTTCTTTCTTAGCAATATGAATAGCTAATTGCTGGAGCTCTTACATTTTTTCCTTATATGAGCAAATTGTTACATTTGTTTACTAAATGGTAAACCAAATATATAATGCCATAGTGCATAATACAAACAATATGCAATGCTACTTTTAACAGCATAGAATCTATAGCAAACTGCCACTTCCTGTTTTTAGGTATATAAAACTGGTATTATTTTGTCTTTTACATTGGTGTAGATTCACTTTTAAAGGGACAGTATCACAATAAAACCCCCAAATCCTTGTCAACCTTAATTGTGTCCCTCTAAATATATTGTATTAGTGATTATGAAGCAGGGTTAGTGTTTTATACTTTCAGAAGTCTCCAGCCCACCAAGTAAGACTTAAGTGTTAACTGTTCTCATCAATTAGCTGGCAGCAGAGAGTCCCATTCCAAAAGAGAGTGGTTTCTTTGCTGTTTTTCAGAGTTGTGATCTTTGAGGAAAGCTTTTGAATTCCAAAAATAATAACTACATTGTTTTATGTTTTACATTTAGGTTCCTTATTGGTTCCAAGACTGATGCTGAAAGGTAAGTAGTTCATATCTTTCTTTTTTTACAGCCCGAGTTTGTCCCTTTCAGCCATAATGTACCTTACTTTCATTACTATGGAAGTAATGGCATGTGACATGGATATTAAATAGAAACAGTCAAGATCTGCAACAAGACTAAAAACGTTGCATCTCTTGCACTTTACATTTGTGGGAAGGGTGGGGGAAAGAGAGTAACTCCACACACCTTGTCCCATTTTTCTGTTAAATTCTGAAGACCATACTATGCCTTTGGATGAACCTATCAGCACTAGTCTGGTGAGAGCATTCAAGAGAAGAGTTTGGCTGTGAGACTTTGTACAAGTAAATTTGCTATCAAGTATAGCTTTAAAGAGAGTGGTTCTTTTGAACTTTAACTGTAGTGTCAAACTTCTTCTCAGTTGAATATTTTTTATTCAGGCAATATTGATTTAGCATTGTGATAAGTATTCTATCACTCCTAGAGCAAGAAGAAAAATAGTCCCCCCCAATATATTTTAGCTATAGAAGGTTTACGGTTGTCTGCTGTGGTTCATTATAAAACATAAAGTAGACTTCTCCCATACTCAGTGGATTTCTCCAGACTTACGTTTCTCAACCTTTTCAGGATGGTAACCCCTAGTTCAAAGTCAAAACATTTCACAACCCCCTTACATTTATTATAAAAGTAGGAGTGAAAAATGTAACAATGATAAGCCTATATAATTTATTTGTGTTTCAAGAGACTGACCGAATACTTGACCTTGAGGGGTAAGGGTGTCATGGCAATACTGGAGAGAGATTGTCTTTGCTTTAGAGTGTAATGGGATTTTCAGTGGCTCGCAACAGCCCTGATTGCCTTTGGTGTCCTCACTGGGGATCGCAACCCACTGGTTGAGAAGCACTGCTCCACACAAGTGGATATTTTATTCTTCAAACTGATACCACAGTATTTTAATTTTTTCTATCAGCTGTCTCTGTAAGGGAGTTCATATTTCTATACAATGTTATTATGTTGCATATCAATTTACTGAAATTTAAAGTAAAACCAAATCACAATTCAAACCATTTTATCTAAGTGCTTGCAGTTTGCATTTCAGAATAGTGAAACAGTAGTAAGTAGGCAAAGAAAATTTAGAATATAATAAAGTTAATCTACATCTAGAACAAACAGTATAATGTTAAAAATAGTGCAAAATTGTTAATGCTTTTTCAAATCCTGTGCTGAAGTCTTTAGTGGTGTATTTCAGGGTAGTGAACCAATACCAGGAACTAGTTCAAAGTGAAGCTAAATGTCCAGTGAAGATGGTTCATAATTCAGGTGGATCAGTCAACCTAAGTCATCTTTCTCCAGGGAAGGAAATGGAAGTGAGTTTGCTCAATGTTTCTTTCTTACATTTACAATTGCTTATTGAGTAATTACAGTTCCCTAAAGGGACTCAAAGGACAAACATCTGTCTGAAGTTTTTAAACCTACTATTATTACAAGTCTGTAATGGAAGAGATTAGAGAAAAATGCTTTTCTCAGATTTTTCTTTTTTTTTTTAATGTTGTGTCTTTGATAATGCTATGTATAGTCAGTTTCAGTGTTTTGCTATAGTCCATTTTTTCAGTTTATCTAGGTCTTTCATACAGCAGCAGAGCAGAGAAAAGCATTTTTAAATACAGTTCTAAAACCAATCTAAAAATTGGCAAGGGAACTTGGAGGCAGGCGTAGTGCCTGAACTGTTAACTCTTCATAAAAATGGTTTGGAGGTTTTTTTTATTAGATTTCAAAATGACAACATCCTTCTAAGGCAGGGGGTCGGCAACCTTTCAGAAGTAGTGTGCCGAGTCTTTATTTATTCACTCTAATTTAAGGTTTCGCGTGCCAGTAATACATTTTAACATTTTTAGAAGGTCTCTTTCTCTAAGTCTATAATATATAACTAAACTATTGTTTTATGAAAAGTAAATAAGGTTTTTAAAATGTTTAAGAAGCTTCATTTAAAATTAAATTAAAATGCAGAGCCCCCCGGACCAGTGGCCAGGACCCGGGCAGTGTGAGTGCCACTGAAAATCAGCTCGCGTGCCGCCTTCAGCACGTGTGCCAGAGGTTGCCTACCCCTGTTCTAAGGGATACATGCTCTTGGAGTGTATTCCTCTGCATGTCTGGCAGGAATTCCTGTAGCTGAAAGTTTGGTGCTGATGGACCCATCAGGCCATCTGTTTTGTTATCTCTGCTGAGCATTTTAGATTGATCCCACTACTCTAGTTCTTTTTTTTACCTCAGCTAGCATTTGCTGCTTTGCTGGTCCTTTCCTCCTGGCTATCTATGTTCTCCCCTATGGCATCCCTTCTTTTTAAATAGATAAATAAAGCTGTCCAGTTTGTTAGCCATGAACAAAGTTCTGCCGGAGTCAGCAGAGTCATAGCAAGGAAGCAACGGATCACCTTCTTTTTTGACTATCTAATCCTCTATGGATGGTAAAGTAGTTATCTTGAGTAGTGAAGAAAGGAGTTTGAAAAAGTAAAAATAAAAACTAAGTCTTTAGGGTTATCATCAACAGGAACTTAAAGGATTTTTAAAGAAAAAAATAGAAGCGCATAAAAGGAGAATAGTGTCTGTTTGCTTTTCAGAGCCATTAAAGACCACAGAATTGTATACTCTGTAAAATACAAAGAGCTAAGCATCAGCTCTTAGCATGTGTGCCCAACTTGAAAAGAACTTCAGAGGAACCATAATTCAGCTAAGAAAACTTTTGAAATTACTCTTCTAACTTTTTTTAGTGATGTGGTTAATTTTATTGTTAAAGTTAACCGGGTGTTTTTTCTAGGGCACTGATGAAGGCTGACTTAATTTCCTCTGTCACAGTCTTTTGACTCCTTTGACAGGGAGGGAAAATATCAAGCACTAATTTTATTAAGAATAATAAAAATAAATATGCAAATAATAAATTGAGTTTTTGAAGTTGTATATCTGATATTGTCTTCTGTGTGTTCTGTCATCTCCCTGAACCTGAAAGCACAGACACTATGTTTATAATACTTCTTTTATTCTGAATTTATACTCCATGCATGTAAATTAAATATTTGGCCTTTACCTGTAAATTTATTTTCCCTGAAACAGATTGTCTGACAATCTGAACTAGTAGTTGCATGGACCTAGAGGCAATTACAGCCAACTTCTAGGTAGCCTGCCATTTGTAATTCAGGACTACATATTTGAATAGCTGTAAGGCAATACTTGAACTTTATTAATTCATCTTAAAAAATTCTGTTCATAATTGGTAAAACAAAAAGCAGAACACCTTCATTCTAAATATAATGGTGCAATCATGGCAAAACTTCCATCAGTTTCAGTGGAGCCAGGATTTCACCCAAGAATTTATATTCCTGTTCCCATACTCTGATTCTGTACCCTGAATCCCGAGTGGGTCAGGATTGACAGACAAATTTATCGGTAAGACCAAGTTTTCTTTTCTTTCAAGAATATGTCTGTCATTCTTCTACTCCTGGGATGTCATTAGCAATGAATTCAGGATAGGGAATGAAGCAATATAATTCCTATAGTTTGTTTTATTTTAATTTTGCCACCGGTTTGGAGGCCTCTCCTGGAAAAAACTACATCTGAAAAGGATCACAGATTGTGTTTCTAATGTCTCCCACAAAGGGAGACCACTTCCTGAAAATTGCTTTACTTTAGAATTCCAATAGAAATGCTTTAATTTAATAGTTACTTATTTCTAGCATGTATGATGTGATCTCAGATTGGGCTAATATATCTTGAATTTCTGTTTCTTCTTAGCAGCCAGAGAGTCTATCAGGGTCCGTGCAGTCTTCAGTATTGGGGAAAGGTGTAAAACATCGACCTCCTCCCATCAAACTACCTTCAAGTTCAGGAAGTAGTTCTTCAGGTAAATACTTTTTAGCTTTTTATCCTCTCCCTCCTTCTGTCTGTTTCCCTTATTTTGAAGTGTGAGGTTTAACTACTTAATGTAATAACTTTAAATATAATGGAAAAACTTTACCTCTATAGGTCATGGAGAGCGTTTTTCAAAGCTGATCTTACTGCTTTCTGATTAAACAGTATTGTTCAAGGATGTATATAATGGAAAATATTCTGACTAACATCCCTCCACAGAACCATAACGTGTGTTAATTGTGCTTTTTCAGGTAATATTTTTAGTCCACAGCAGTCAAGTGGCCACCTAAAATCCCCAACTCCTCCTCCTCCTTCTAAGCCTCCCAGTCTTTCTCGGAAACAATCTATGGATCTTAGTCAAGTTAGCATGCTTTCTCCAGCTGCCATGTCTCCTGCGAGCTCTTCACAAAGTGAGTCACGAACTAAATTCTCCATTAAATCTTAGGCTTTTGCATAATGCTTCTTGAGATAAACTTAACCAGTGGAATGGTGAAACTTAAATGTACAGTGTACTCTAAATTGTATAAGTTGTGCAAAGCTTCAGGCAGGTCTCTTGTTGACTGTATGTATTTTATGTTTACTGTAATTGTGTTTGTTTTTCTGTATATATATGTATGCACCCTTTGTGTATACGTTTTAATACATTTTATGCGACCAGTATGATTCTCTTTTTTTAAAAAGCCTGATAGCTAATGTGACAATATAAGATTCCAAAGTGTGGTTCTTTCCTCCAGTGTAAAAATAACAGTATATGAGACCAATTTGCATTTACATAATTTAAGCAACTGATTCTTTTTAAATGTCATAGGAGCTGGTACAGTTGTATCTCTATGTATGTATATAACCTGATCAGTCCCAAGGTGGCGATACAATAAACTATGAGATGATTTTTTAAAACACTCCAACACTGTTTTACAAATCATTGCTGATTACTAAAGTGTAATAATTATTATTATAGCACCATAATGTAAGGTGTTAAAATGTAATTTTCTAAAATGAGTGACATCTAAGTTTGATTTTTTTTTAATTAACGACAGGATTATTGTAATTATAGATCATAAACAATTTTTAAAATATGCGTCTTGAGGCCTTTCATGAACAGATTTGTACAGCGAAAGAAACCACAGCTATAGTTTTCCATTTTTTTTATGAATAATTGCACACTGAACATTTCCGTATGCTGCACAGTGATATACTATGTTTTTTGCATTAAATAGTTTAAAATCTGAATAGCTCAAAAGGTGTAATTTTTCTGCCTTCTTGTTTTGCACAAAGAAAAACATAAGAAAGATTTTGTAAATTTTCTAACAGTTCTATTCACACCTTTTTATGTTGCTGGTATGGATTATGTAAATCTACTGCACACAGTTGTTACTGTAAGTAAAGCTCTGGTCACAGCTTTTGGACATTCACATTTCTTTCCTTTCTTTCTGCAGGACATGAAAGCTAAAAAAGAGAACACCTCAAGAGCTTTTGGTTTTTTTTACTTTTTCTGTTTTTTGTTTTTTCTATTGTTAAACTGTGCATACTGCAGTCACAACAAATTTATCTATACATTCTACATTTAAGCAGAAGGAATTACACAGTAACTTTTAAAGATGCAGTATTATCTCCTGCAAAAAGCATTTACTTTATTTTCTGTTTTGTGATTTGACTGAAATCTGGCAAATACAGTTATCGATATCTATTCAATAGAATTTAGATGGTTACCTTTGACCCCATTTGATCACTGAAACTGTCTGTTCTTTGTTGAATCTGTTGTTTTCCATATGTTTTAGCATGATGCTGTTATACAGACAGTACATACAGCCTATATATTTGACATTTTAGAACCAAAACCATTAACTGGGTTAAAATGGTCACTCAGAAAAATTGTACTACATTGACTTAAAAATATTTCCAACAGTCATGATTTAGTGCACTATACATTTTAAAAGGGCTTAATGGACGATACAAATTTATGTTTTGGTTAAAGAGTTAAGCATGGCAATGGGGTTTCTGTGTGATATACTGCATCTTTAATAATGAGCGAGTGCAGCAACCCTCGTGTGTCATGGGTAGAAATTAACACTTGCAGTTTACTGCTTTAAAAAACTGGAACAAATTGTCAGTGCTAAATAAGATTCCATTAACCTTATTTTACAAAAGGACTGGCCTTTTATAACAAACTAGCACTTTTTATTTTTCTCAATGAGCAGGGTCTGGAACTCCTAAACCATCTACTCCTACTCCAACCAACACCCCTTCATCGACCCCACACCCTCCTGACGCTCAGAGCTCAACTCCTATTACCCCTTCTGCCACCCCTACTCCCCAAGATTCAGGCTTCACCCCTCAGCCCACTTTGTTAACCCCGTTTGCTCAGCAGCAAATGTCTCTGAGCCAGGCATTGCCTGTAATGACCATTCCTCTTTCCACCATGGTAACATCCATTACTACAGGAACCACCTCCACCCAGGTCATGGCAAACCCTGCAGGACTTAACTTCATCAATGTAGTGGGCTCTGTGTGGTAAGTTCACTTTATTTTTAATGGCTTCTTAACAACCTGCCTTATGTTGGTTTACAGAAATGTTCAATATTCATTAAGCCAGGTTTTATTCAAAATGTCCAACGGAAATGTATCATTTCACCATGTAATGGCATAATTCAGTTAATGCAGTTTTATGAGGTGTTCAAACAGAAGAAACCCAGTATTTGAATGCTGATGAAGTTGAATGAGAACCACTGAACTGTGTACTTTGAGTTTTTAAGATGTATAGGGTTTAATTACACTAGAGCTTACCTAGCTACAAAAACTATGATAGCTCTTGAGATTTTGTTCTTACAATTTTTCCACTTGAATGTTATCTTTTTATTAATCATTATGAGAGAGGAGATGGAATATGCAAACCATTCCAAATTAAAAATAATCAGACAAAATTCTGTGTAAAAGCCCCTGTGAGTGAAACACTTTGTGTAAAATGTTTATAATAAGAACTTAAGAATGGCCATACTGGGTCAGACCAAAGGTCCATCTAGCCCAGTATCCTGTCTTCCGACAGTGGTCAATGCCAGGTGCCCCAGAGGAAATGAAGAGAACAGGTAATCATCACGTGATCCATTCCCTGTCGCCCATTCCCAGCTTCTGGCAAACAGAGGCTAGGGATACCATCCCTGTCCATCCTGGCTAATAGCCATTGATGGACCTATCCTCCATAAATTTATCTAGTTCTTTTTTGAACACTGTTATAGTCTTGGCCTTCACAACATCCTCTGGCAAAGAGTTCAACAGGTTGACTGTGCGTTGTGTGAAAAAATACTTCTTTTTGTTTGTTTTAAACCTGTTGCCTATTAAATGGAACATCAGTGAATCTGATTTATGAGTACTTAACTTTATTAAGCATTTTTACACTTATTCTGAGACTTAAATATTATTCTGTATTTTTTAAAAGCACTTCTGCCAACAGTGGAATTTATTCTGTTATTACCAAGGTAGATTTCTATTAACTTAAAGTAGCTTTTGCTATCTGCTGTGTAAAACACAGAGTGCACCCTAATGATGTCAGATGTGTGAATTACTCATCTGAACTCTCCAGCAGCAACTCATCACTCCAAATCCATTAAACAGATTTTTTCAAGTTGCTGAAGGAAAACATGAGCCTACTCTACAGCTTTTATGTCCTGTCAGTGCTGCTGTATTTAAGGTTGTGTTAGTCTTTGTATTTGGAAACACTGCAGGCTTAGAATAAAAGAACCTGTACACTTTATTCTTCCTGTGATCATTGATATCACAGTGAGTTGTGTACACAGAAGGAGGGTAGGATATGGACCTATATATTCCAAATCCTAGGTACTTTATGATACTCCTTTATGTGTTTTTCTAAATGTCTGGGTTGTGGAGAACACGTAGCAGGTTTCACACTCAGCTGTAACATTCATTTAATGTTAGTTTGTGATGAATTAATCAATAGGGTGACTATAAATGTTGTTCTGATAGGTCACCTTAAATATAACCTCATTTAGAGTGAACTGTTGATTGTGTTGTTAAAGACTGGAAGGCAAAAATCTAGTTGTTCACACACATTTGTGCCACTTGGATTTAATGTGTTTTCTTTCCTATTCTACAGTGGAGCACAGACATTGATGAGTGGCTCAAACCCCATGCTGGGGTGTAATACTGGTGCCATAACCCCTGCAGGTATAAATCTGAGTGGCATTTTACCATCAGGAGGTCTGGTGCCAAGTGCACTGCCAGCTGCAATGCAGTCTGCCTCTCAAGCAGGTTAGTATGAATCAGCTAAAAAGCTGTCATGAGGAACATTCAGATCAGGTTAAATAGCAAGAGCCCTTTAACCACAGTGGGCAGAAGAGTTCAATAAGAATTTGTGTGCGCCAGTGAATGGATAGTGTGTACATTCAGGCTTGAATCCACAAAGGGACTTAGGCATTGCAACACTCAGGTGCCTAGAAAATCACAAGAACAACATTGGCATCCACAAGGCCTAAGTTAGGCACCTAGACTCCCTATGCAATGAAGGGGGGGAAAATAAGTGCCTAAGAATGGGATCCACAAAAGCCAGCATACTAGATGGGGAGCTGCCTAACTAGCCAATGGGAGATTCTGATGAGAGGAGTTTATCTTAAACCCCTCCCTAGAGAGAGGAAGAGGTGGTAGCCCAATGGAGACAGCACTCATCTCGAATGTTCAATTCCCATCCCAACTGATGGGGAGAAAGGATTTGAAGAGGGGTCTTCCATGTCCTTAACCACTAGGCTTTGGGACCTTCTGCTATGGGTCTGCCTTAGTCTCTCCTGTCAAAGCTGTTTCACTGCGGATGAATAATTATAAAGTCATTGGAGCATGGGGACTGGACCCAGGTAAGTGTGCTATCTGCCAGGCTGTAGGGTCATTCTCTCTCTGGCCCAATGACTATTTATCCAAAGTGAACAGCCTCAACTGGAGAGACTGAGGGTGAGCCCATATCAGAATAACACAGCTCAGCGGTTTGAGCACTCTCCTGAGAGGTGGGAAACCCGTGTTCAAATCTTTTCTAGCCCTCAGGCAGAGGGGAGAATGAACCTAGGTCTCCCACATCCAGGTGAGTGCTCAGACGACTGTGTTAGAAGTTATAAGTGAGGTGGTCCTGCCACTGCTGGATTTTGAATGGAGCCTGATCCGGCAGGTGTGTTCTGAGTATGTTTGGATCAGGCCCAAAGGCAAGATAGGCATTTGCTTGCCTCTCTTTTCCTGGCTTGCAGATCACACTGGGGCAGAGGTGTGCAACATATGTGAGGTGCGCATGACCAGAGGCAGAAACTTAGATGCCTAGGCAACTTTTACGTTTAGATGGCAGCTGAGGGGAGCTGGTGTTGTAGATTGCAGTGGCACCTAAATCTGAGCCGCTGGCACCTAAGTCCCTTTAGGATGTAGGCCTCACTGAATTTGGGGATGATCTCTACATTCTTAGTCCCCAGGTCAGCTGAGGTTGAGTGTGTCTGAAGTAGTTATTTTAAGGGGCTAGGTTAGGGTTGCTAACTTTCTACTTGCACAAAAACGAACACTCTTGCCCTGCCCCCCATCCGAGGCCCCAACCCTTCTTCAAGGCCATGCCCCTGCTCACTCCATCCCCCCTCCCTCTGTCGCTCTCCCCACCCTCAGTCACTCACTCATTTTCACCAGGCTGGCTCCGGGGGTTGGGGTGCGGGAGGAGTGAGGGCTCTGGCTGGGGGTGCGGGCTCCAGGGTGGGGCCAGAAATGAGTTCAGGGTGCGGGAGGGGGCATTGGGCTGGGGCTGCGGGGTTCGGAGTGCGGGAAGGGGCTCCAGGCTAGTGCAGGGGGATGTGAGGGCTCTGACTGGGGGTGCAGGTTCTGAGGTGGGGCTGGGGATAAGGGGTTTGGTGTGTAGGAGGGTGCTCCAGGCTGGGATGAGGAGTTCGGAGGGCAGGAGGGGGATCAGGGCAGGGAGTTGGGGCGCCGGGGAGTGAGGGCTCTGGTTGGGAGTGCGGGGTTAAGGGTGCAGGAGGGTGCTCTGGGCTGGGATTGAGGGGTACGGAGGGTGGGAGGGGGATCAGGGCTGGGACAGGGGGTTGAGGCACAGGAGGGGGTGCAGGCTTCGGGCGGCTCTTACCTCAGGTGACTCCCGGAAGCAGCGGAATGTCCCCCCTCCAGCTCCTACGCCAAGGTGTGGCCAGGCAGCTCTGCGTGCAGCCCGCCCTCAGGCACCGCCCTCGCAGCTCCCATTGGCCGCGGTTCCTGGCTAGTGGGCGCTGCGGAGCAGGTGCTTGGAGTGGGGGCAGTGCAAGGAGCCCCTCGCTGCCTCTACGCCTAGGAGCCCTGAGCGGGGACATGCCTCTGCTTCCGGGAGCCGCACGGCGCTATGGCAGGCAGGAAGCCTGCCTTAGCTCCGCGGTGCTGACTGGAGTCACCAGGGTCCCTTTTTGACCGGGCGTTCCAGTCGAAAACTGGACACCTGGCAACCCTAGGTTAGGTTAGGGAGATGTATTATATATCTGGTTATACATTTGGATCACCCATCAGGGGGAGTTTCTGAGGTAGGTTACGTTGCAAGTTCAGAAGTGACTATGGCAATCATCACTACTAGAAGAAAAGTAAAATATGAAAACATCCCAGAATTTAGGAAGAGGACCCACACTTCAGTGCTTCAGGCCCTTATTCTTTTACTAGACTGTGTTTTAATCTAGGTATGTTTTTAGCTTCTTAACTGCCATAAAATATTACGGTAGAAATCAATATGCTTCAACATTCATAAATTAGAAGTGTTTAAGTTCTTAGGCTCCAACCTTTTTGAAAACAGAACAGAAAAACACCTAATGTTTGTTAGATGTTTATCCTCTCAGAAATGCTTTTGGACTTGGAGATCTTCAAAAAAAGCCATTATAATTTGCAGCATTTCAATATTTTCCTTTCTCTAATGCAGCTATCAGTAACTGCTGTTTCATTGGGATTCCAGACATGTCCATGTGTGGGATGCAAACTGTAATGTATTTTAAAAATAGAGGAAGAACTACAGAACATCTGGGAGGATGCTCTCTGCATACTTTATCTTGTCCAAATACAGTAGTAGTTTGCAATGTACCATGTTTAATACTGGTAGAACTTCCTTTCTAATCAGTCTGTTCCCCTGAGCTGCGTCTGGATAATCGTGCAATTTACAGTTCTACAGAGAAAATACAATATTCTGCTAAAGTATAAAACTTAACCTTCCCATGCTGCAAGCTTGGAGTATTTAGAAATAATCCCATTGGCATGGTGTGGTGTGATGTATTTGATTTGATGATGTGCATCTAACTAAGTAATGGTTGCCTACTTTTAATTAACAGGCAGCCCTTTTGGTTTAAAAAATGCTTCAGGTCTTCGGCCCTTAAATCTACTACAGGTAATTAATGTATTTGGACACATTAATAATTGTTTGCATAATTCTATATAGATGTGTTAATTAGTGCTTTTGGTCACATAGACCTCCAGCTCCTTGGAGCCAGGTGTTCCGAGGCATGCCATTTATTGAAAATGTTTCATTTTATTATTTTAATTTGAATGCATAAGACAAGAAAAGGTCTGTGCTAAGAGAATAGGTGCCTTAAATGATAACTAACATCAGTCTATAAAACAGCAAACCTGAGGCCATCCTTCCCCCACTAACAAATCAACCAGTCTTGAATGACATAAAATAAGCTGTAGAAATAGTGAAATTTGAAACTTGAATTCAAGTGGCTAATTGCATAAAAAAAAAATTCCATTTTTAAGCCTTTGCTTTTGCTTTCACTGAAAAGTAGTTGTTTTCATTTTTAGTTATGATTGTTTGAAAACTGCAAAATTAACAGTGCAATAGAAATCCCCTGTAAATTAACCAGCATAGGTCTTAAGAACAATGAACTATGCATGTGCAGCTGGGTTACTAGTTGATACTATGCAACACAAATAGTTCCAGACAAGGAGATCCTTCAGGAACCTTACATCAGAGTAGGATTGATCCCCCATGCTGCTTTCCTGTACTCCCTGCTGCCAGGAGCATGGGGTGTGGCTGGCACAGGAGACAGCTGTGTCAGAGGAGAGTTCCTCTACCTAGGAGGGAATTCTCCATTGACTGTAGTCAGCTGTTTTAAGTCCACTTTATGCCACTTATACAGAATATAGTGGATTTAGTAGACTAGGGGATGTGGCACTAGGAAATGAAATGTAAATGTAAATTAAGAGTCAGGTTGCACAGTTAAACTCAATGCAGTTCACAAATGCACAAGTCAAATTTATATCTGTATATGGACTCTTCAAGTCTGGTTAAATGTGCAGCTTATAATAATAATAATAATAATTAATGGAGATATCCTATCTCCTAGAACTGGAAGGGACCTTGAAAGGTCATCGAGGCTAGCCCCCTGCCTTCACTAGCAGGACCACGTACTGATTTTGCCCTAGATCCCTAAGTGGCCCCTTCAAGGGTTGAACTCACAACCCTGAGTTTAGCAGGCCAATGCTCAAACCACTGAGCTATCCCTCCCTGTTTGTTTTAAAATATATATTATAAACCATGGAGGATTTAGTATACTAATTTAACTTTGCTTTTGGAATCTTAACTTTTTTACATTTCTTGTCTTCCTTGAGTTTAATTGTGTAACCTTCATATTGCAGTAACAGTTCTTTGTGTGTGTGTGAGAGATTATGAAGATATTAATGAAATGCTTGTAATTTACATTACACCTAAGGCTGACATTTCAGGCTATGCTCTTGAATCTCCTCTCTCTTACACTGTTATAAATCAAGAATAATTCAGTTGAAATCAGTGCAGTTGGTAAAACTGGTGTAAGCAAGAGGAAACAGGCCCCATATTTAATTAATATCTGTTGCATCAGATTCTTCACAATTTGCTACTAGGAAGCCTTCATCCAAATAAAATAAAATGGTTTAAACATGGAATTAATGAAGTATTCTGATGTTACAGGTATCCATTAACCTACATTTTTATTAGCAATGTGTAAAATCTGCACAATTGTATTTAAATAGAACAATGATAATAATATACTTTTCTCCCTAGGAATCTAGGGCTACAATTTATGCAGACTATTTCTGAAAAATGAGGCCTTTTCAAAAACAGCAGCATTTTTAAAATATCTGCAAGAAGTAATTTAATATCTAGATCTTTATTTGTGCTCATCCCCGGAGAATGGCAGGCTCATGAATGTGATTGAATTATGTCTTTTGTTTTTAATCTGGAACAGCTTCCTGGTGGTTCACTTATTTTCAACCCACTTCAGCAGCAACAGCAGCAGCAGCAGCTCTCTCAGTTCTCTCCACAGCAGCAGTCCCAGCAGCCTACAACCTCTAGTCCGCAACAACAGGGAGAACAGGTGTGCCAGTTACCCTCAGTCTGAGTTCATAAATACATTGGGAAACTGTTGAACCGCATAGTTTACTCACAAATGATTATACCTTTCAGGTGGTGAGTGGTTGATTGGAGTAGTTGTTTAAAGAAAGAGGAAATGAACAATTCTAGTTTACTAAATAACAAGGATCTATTTTTGGATGGTAAAAGTCATTCATAATTTCTCCTTTTACAAGATCTAGGAATATAAAAATAAGTTGTGTTGCCCAGTTAGTATACTGTCCCTTCAGCTCTGTAGTCATGCCAATACTGAAAAGACCATTATGGTTTGCTTCTAACAATTCCTGTATTGCTTAACTTTGTTTTAGTTAGCAAAGAACTGGCAAAGATAGTGTAGCCCTCTGGTGGTTCATATTATGCCTTGCACATTTACTGTAGGATATCAGCTGCATAGGTTTGTATGAATTCGTTAGCCTTAAATTGAAATAAGCATTCATATAGTATAATGAAAGTGGAAAGACCCATTGCATTCTAAACTCCACTTTGACTCCCCTTTTAACTTTGTCAGAAACATCTCCTCTTTGGCCTAAAAATTGTTCATTTCAGACCAGAAGTGAATTTTGTTTTTTAACATTCACATGCATGTTGGGTAAGCAGGTTTTTAGTTACAGAGTATTGGAAACTTAGCATTTTAAATAAACATAACTTTTTTTCTATGACTTAAAAAAGCTGATTTTAAGGTATTGGATTTCTCAGGCATTTAGTCCTCCACGAAGACAAGGCTAATAAAATCTTATTTAAAACCACATTTTCTAACCATTTCATTGACAACTGAAAGGTTGTTAGTTACTTGTGAGGAACGGGATCTCTGAATGTTGTAGAAATCTAGATATGTCTGTGAGTCCTTCAAAGGTTAGAGGATCAGTTGGAAGATTGTAGAAGTTTTCTGTGGCAGTTACAATGCATGGATTAAATGGTGTCTTTCCTTTTCCCCAGAACAACAAGTAAATGGGCCTTTACATAAAAGGTCTCAATCAGGTTAAGGAGAAAGGAAGCCTCGTGAAGAGTGCAGTCACTTCGTTGCCACTGCTGTACATAGGTTGTAGTTATAGCTGGCTCCTCTATCCCTTTGGTGATTTTTTGACATGGCAGATAACCTGGCCTTGCATCATCCTGCACTAATGTGGACAGAAGCCATTCAGTATGTGAGGGAAGTGTGTTCTTGCCCCTCCATACACAGAACCACAGCACAGGAATTGCCATGCTGCATCAGAGTAGTGCTCCAGTTAGTCCACTGTCCCGATTCTTAGGGCATGGCTACACTTGCAGATGTAGAGCGCTGAGAATTAAATCCGCCTCCGTACAGCGCAGTGGGAAAGCGCTGCAGTCTGTCCACACTGACAGCTTCAAGCGCACTGGCGTGGCCACATTTGTGGCACTTGCAGCAGCATTGGGAGCGGTGCATTATGGGCAGCTATCCCAGCATGCAAGTGACTGCAACGTGCTTTTCAAATGGGGGGGGGGTGGAGTGTGACAGGGAGTGTGTTGTGTGTATGTGGAGGGAGAGAGAGTGGGTTTGTGGGGGGCTGAGTGTGTCAGCATGCTGTCTTGTAAATTGAGACCCCCTCTTCCCCCACCTCTCTCTCTCTCACTCAAAGCAAACAGTAAATGTTTGCTTTCTCGGAGCTGATAAGCAGCCAGCTTCTCCGAAACATTTTGAAAGGACATTTCCGCATTCCTGCAGCCAATTTCACAACAATGACAAGAGTGGCCACTTGACTTAAGGGGATTAGGGGACGTTTCTGGAGGCTGATCACAGCGCAGTAACGCAATACCTTGTTCACATTGGTGCCGCGGCGCTCCAGCGGGGGTGCAGCAAACGTTATTCCACTTGCCAAGGTGGAGTACCAGCAGCGCTGTAGCCGCGGAGTCAGAGTGCTCTACGTGCCTTGCCAGTGTGGACGGGGAGTGAGCTAGGGCGCCTGGGGCTGCTTTGTTGTGCTGTAACTCGCAAGTGTAGCCAAGGCCTTAGTGACCAATACCAGCTGCTTTAGAGAAATACACATGAAACCCTCTACTGTAGAATAACCAAAGTTTCTTCCTAACCCTGTCAGTCAGCAGTTGGCTTACATCCTAGCCGTTACAATTGAGTTGGGATTTTTGTGCTAGTGAAGGGTAGGGCTCCATTTGGCCCTAAAATTGTAGATTGTAATCTTGGATGATTGTAGACCGATGGAAAGCTGAGGCAGCAAGTACAATCACTGTGAAAGGCGTTAATCTTTTTAGATGCAGACTTTTACAAAGAAATTAACAGAGTTTAGCAGTTAACCTCAGTCCATTCTCATATGCCCAATCCCCTTCTCTTGGGGCATCAAGACCTTCCCCTAAATTTTATCTATCTGATAGGGTATTTAGTTCTCAACATACCCACAATGTGGCCAGTTTGGGAAAGGAAAAGTACAGTCTGCTCTACTTTTGTATCCCATCTGCCAGTGTAGTTACCAGCTCCTTTCTAGTCTTACTGCAGAAGCCAGAAGCCTTTTGTGTGTGCTAGTCAGTCTCTGCCTTCAGCCCAGATACCTAGTTCAGTTTGTCTTAAAATAATTTTATTTTGAATAGTATGGAAGAATCATCAGTAAGGTGGCTCTAGGGGTGAAAGTAACTTAAAGGACTTACTGGTACGCCGGAGTTCTAAGTGGGGCGTGGCCTCAACCAGAAGAGGCTATGGCTGGGAGCTCCAAGGCCTTTAAATCACCCCGGAGCTACCAGCTGCAAAGGCGGCTGGGAGCCCCGGGGCTCAGGGGTGAATTAAAGGGCCCGGGGCTCCAGCTGCCGCGGAACTCTGGGCCCTTTAAATCACCACGGGAGCCCTGCTGCCACTACCCCGGGGCAGCAGGGCTCAGGCTAGGGCTGGGGTAGTGGCGACAGGGCTCCGGAGGCGATTAAATCCCCGCCAGGGCCCTTTAAATCACCGCCGGAGAAGCCGGTCCAGTCCAGCACGGCGTACTGGCACACTGTACTGGACCGTACTGCCTTACTTTCACCGCTGGGTGGCTATGAATACTACATAAAGTATTAGACTGACAAAAGCTCACTTATGAGGTAACAGGCCCCTCTATCTTGAATGGTCTCTTACAATATGTGCTAATTACTTGTGCTAAACAATCTGTTCCACCATGGATGTAGCTGTGACACTGGGAGTACCTTTCCCAGACCTGAAGAAGAGCTCGGTGTGGCTCGAAAGCTTCTCTCTCTCACCAACAGAACTTGGTCCAATAAAAGATATTACCTTACCCAAATGGGTAACGTCAGTTTCCTGGAATCCCACATGGCAGAAAAGTTCTCCTACAGTGTCATCTCTGTTCACACAGGTCTTTAAGCTGTTATGTGTGGTGGTGTGACAGCAGACCACTGTAGATGTATTCTTAAGGCACTTGGAATCCAACCATCGAATCTCTTGTTATTGTTTGTAATTACTTTGTTCTTTGATCAGTAAGCCAATACTCTTAGGATTTCCTTGTACAGACATTGAACTATGAACTTAATTTCTTCAAACATGTAAATTAATTGAGCTGAAATCTAAGTGCTTAGTGAAGAAATAATCAAAATAACACTTTTTATTCCATTGTGCAAAATATACATACATTTATCACAAATTTCTGTAGGTTTTTGGTGAGAGGTTGGTACCATCATTTTATAGTATCCTCAGTATGTCCTAACCTTATAGCACTGTTTCTTTAGTACAGTGATTTTTAGCTGCATTCTTTCCCTGTTTTCTTTTTCATGTGATTATTTAACATGGTTATCTTGAAGAAATCTTGCATAACTCATGACAATTTAGCAGCCCAGTCACAAGTTCTGCCTTCTTACAATTTTTTTTTTTTTTGGTCTGGTGTGTGTTAAAAGTCTGTTTGAATTATGTAAGATGTACTCAGACAATATTTTCATTCCATGTGGGTACTCTAGTATAGCGCACGATCCAGTACACATAGATTTCAATGGACATTTGATCAAGCCCCTCATGATCCAATCTGTGTAAGAAATGAATGGAGGTGGGGGGAGTTATTTTGTTCCTGAGTGAAGTTGTTGCTTTCAGAATATTATTGGGGTGGGTTTTTTTAAGATAAGAAAGAATGGCACAATCTGAAGATGTAAACATCTTCACTTTTCCCCCTGATGTTTAGGGTCTATAGTGATTAGTATTCTTGCCTGTGGACTGCATGTGGACCACCATTTCAGGTGCAACACAGATTCTTGTGGGATTAGGAGATGAAGTACCACCTGATTGGATCTAAACTATAGTTATTACTACTAGGTTGCCCATGGTGCAGTCGGAGATGCCATGGGACTTCTATTAAAGAACAGAGATAATCCTAATGTCCTGGAAAACATTCACTATCTATGTAAAACAGGTTATAGAATCCAAAATTATAGAAGAGCTAGTATAGAGCACATAATGGCTGCTCTGCATATCTGAATAGTCATTCCATTACCTGTATTTAACACTATAAAAAGCAGAATGTGTTTTTTAAAAGGGAAATAAAAGCGGTACTCATATCTTTTCATGCTGATTTTTTTAATTTATTCATTCAATGGCACAATAAGTATCAAACTTCTCATTTTTGCCAGAGTGCTGAGCAATGTCCAGCCAATCAAGACCAAGCCTTATCTGCCCAGCAAGCCGCTGTTATCAACCTGACTGGAGTAGGGAGCTTTATGCAACCTCAAGCAGCAGGTATGTGGTGGCAGAGTTTCCTTCTGTTTTTTTTAGTGACATTGATAAATTTCATACTGGAATGAAGTTTGGTGTTTAATATAAGCCTTCCCCTTACTCTAATTAAAGCAAATCACATATCAAGTTATCATGACAGAGTGTGGATTACATAAAAGATGCTACACTTAATTTGACTTGCAAATTAAAAGCATGCACTTTTCTGCTTCTTTGTCTTGTGTGTGGTAGTTTCATAAACTGAATAGTCTCTAAATCACAATTCCTGCCAAAACTGTACAAAGCTTCCATACCAAACTTCATTAAGGAGTACTTCTTTAAACTGTCTGCTTTAAAGACCAGTATGAGAAATTTGTTTCATGTCCACAAGCTCTTCATAATCTAATTGCATGTTCCAACTAACAGCGTCTATACAGTGTATACTTTATTCTGCACTGTTTCTGATTTTATTCTGAGATTAATTCTACTGATCCCCTTTCTGTTACACTCTATTCCTATGTCTTCCTTTCCTAACCCTGACAACCTCCACCCAACCTCTTTGACCTGCCTGCTTTCCCCTTCTCCTTTTCGTAGTGTTGTCTCAGCTTGGCTCTGCCGTGAACAGACGTGGGCAAAGCCTTCCTCAGCAGAGACTCCAGCTCTCCTCTGCCTTACAGCAGCAACAACAACAAGCCTTGCAGCAGCAGCAGCAACAGATACAAGTAATCCAGCAACTTCGCTCTGATTGCATTAAAAAAATACAATTCTCAGCTCCAAACCCAAAAATGCTGCCCTTGAGACCTTTACTAATACCAGATGGAATTTTTTAAAATGCTGCAGTGTGGCAAACTAAACTGAGAGATCCGATTCCTCTTGTTCGACCAACTTGGAGCACTGAATTTATTTTTATACATTAAAGCCATCCGCTTTCCTGATTTGACAACATTCAAGGAGTGCTTGTGGCACGTTACTAAATAAGCTTGGCCAGGTGCCATTAGGATTTTGAAGCAACAGCATGTCGAGTGCCTAGTTAAATTCAAACACATTGCACAGCTACAGTTAATACATTAAGAAGGAAGCTCTGGCAAAGCATTCTTTTAACATAGTAATGTTCTCCATCCTGATATTTATATAGGGAGTACATTATTGCAATATTAGGACAAAAATATATTGCATGAATGAGGAAGACTTAAATAGAGAAATTATATTAAGTATTATGCTGAATATATCATCTGAACTAAAATGTTTACTGAAGTTGCTGAGTTACTGCAGTTACTGCGACAGACACAAAGGGCAAAGTTTAACTGTGAAATGTTCGAAACGCCCTCAGCAGGCTTCTGTGCCACTGGTGCTGCTTGACTGTACTCATTGTCCCAGTATGTGGTATTCCTTTTTGATGCCATTTCAGTGCTTCCTCAGTTTAATTCCCCCATCTTGTTCTTTCCTGTCATTCTTCCTGAGGTAAAAGGTAGCGTTAAATTTAATATAATGAGCTTTTTTTTCCTTTCCCTTCTCCCCCACGGCAGCAGTTGCGATTCTTGCAGCATCAAATGGCTATGGCAGCAGCAGCAGCACAAGCAGCTCAGCTACGACACCAGCAACATTCAGGCAGCCAGTCCAAAAGTAAAAGGAAAAGAGGCACACCGACCCCTCCAAAGTCCTGAGTCTTGGGGGGGGGTTATATTTAAAAAAAAATAGACGCAGAGGTGATTTTTAAACCTTTTTTTTTTTTTTTTTAAAGAAAGCTCAAAAAAAAATCAGTGTTTGAAATGGCTGATGGGAAAAGGAATTTTTGAAGTAATGCTGATATGTATAAACTGTATCGGGAAGCCAACTCTATGGAAAATAGGAATTTCATCTAACAAAAAGCTAGGGTTTGTTTTTTGCAAGTCACTTCATATTTTTAACAAGATGTTTTACCTTGTATTTTTTACCATTCAGCAGCACTGTACATAGTATAAGGGTGATAAATTTTAGAAAAATGAACTTTGTAAATGTAGTATTGATATCTGTTTATTTAGTATAAAAGGTTGGTGAATACTCTAACAAATACAGTTTTTACAAATCCATTTTGAAGAGACCTTGCCGTATGTTTATTTTGGTTTTATACTGTTTATCACTTTATCTATCAGCTTCTTCACTTCTTTGTGTCTTGTAACTGCCCGGGTGATACAGTCTTGAAGTTTTGCTGCTGTTAGGCCACTTCCACCTAAAAAAGAGGGGAGAGCCCCCCAAAATTGAAAGTTATATTTTGGTTTTCCATTTTGTTTTCTTTAAAATGTTTTTCAAATGGAAACATTAAAACCTTTCAGTCATGGGGGTTACGTTACTGTTTAAGAATCAGGGTGGTCTAATTTGCAATTCTCCTTAAGAAAATTGTTTTACTTTAAATATCAAATCTTACTAGCACAATAGAAGACCTATGTTCAAGATCCAACCTCTACAACAAGTTTGGCTAAACAAGTCATGAAGACGATTTATGCAAGGAAAGGGTTATTTCTTGCAGCAGCCACACCAGCTCTTGCAAAATGCAATATTGTAGATTATTTTTAAGAAGACTGCAGTAGTAACATTCATTTAAGAAATAGTTCAACTAAGAGTGAAGAAAAATGTTACTTGTTTTGAGAGCACTGTCTGACACAGGTACAGTATTAAGAGGGCATTACATGCTAAAGGCCAATAATGTTACTATGCAGCATGTACTACTGAAATAACAGCCATCTGTAGGTAGAATTTGATTCCAACCATTTAATTTTAAATTTGTTGCCTGTCAAATTAACTTGTAGTAATTTTGCAAAGTACCTGGCTTATGAACAGAACATAGTTTGCCTTCTTCATCCATTACAATGGTTACAGTTCCAGTTGCCAGGTCCTCCTCTTCTGCTGTCGGATCAACAATGAGTATTGTGCTTTTAAAGGAAAAGAATCCAGAGGTGGGTGGGATGTTTGTCTACAAGTTACTGGACCTTCACATACAAAACAGTCAGCTAGGAAAAGGTTCATCTAAGATGAATTTGTCCAGGGTCATTTAGGCTAACTTTTTTAAAGGTTTTATTTATAGCGAGTATTTTTTTAGCTGAATATAGTACTTCTGGAAGCATTCTATAAACATCCAATGTTCTGTCATCAGGATGCCCTAATTTAAAGAACATGGGGAGAAGGCAAACCCTTACTGAACTTCAATGTTGAACTCAATCGGATGTTTGAGGGTTTGTAAATAGAAATAAAATTTAAATGTAGAGGTTTTAAAAATGTATGCCCTAATCAGGAAACTACAATTTACAACACTAAAACAGCTACTACAGTAACACTCAGACAGTAAAACAGTTTAGAATTGTGGTAAAACAAATCTTTTAAAACGGTGACTACATGCTGTAAGACTGTTAACAGAAAACTAAGTGAAAACACCATTATTTCCGTTTGCTGTAGATGTACTTACAAAACCCATTTCTCTTATTTGCATGTATATTTATTTTTAGTGAACCCTTTGAAAGAGAATCAAGGACTGTATTTTGATCTACTACACTGTTCAATCAAGGAAGCGATCAAAAATATTACCCCTGCGATGAAGGCTATTGATTTCTCAAGACCCAGAATTAGTTTTTTCCACAGCAAATAATGCAAAGTTCATAATATTTAAAGGGAAAATTGACTAAATATCCTTTATTCCACAATAAAAATTGTTGGAACCATTTAATAATATCAAATAGTTTAGTCCTTGAGAAATCTATACTACAATGGACAGATACAGAGCCAAATAATAAAAGTTCATAGAGGAGTCAATGGGACAGGATGATAAAGACCTCAACTTTTACTAAAAACCTTAAACACTCACAGTTTTTCTCAGAAATCATGGTCATTACATACAGCCTTATCCATATCTTAGTACAACCTTTTTGAACGTGCAAAATGTTTATAAACAACAGTGCAAATTATTATTGGAAATATCTGGTGTGAATTCCTAATTCCACACTGTTAAAAAAGTGAATTTTAAAGTCCATGTAATTAAATTTGATCTACTGAATATAGTGACACTCTGCCAAGGGAATGCATTTATTCTACATGTTACTTACAACTAATTTTTAAAAAGTGGGGAGCTCTATGATTTGGTAATGCTTTTCATATTATCTGCATCATAAAAAGTGGGCAGTTGCCTGAACTTTCACAAAGTAGTGAACAGAACAACTCAATCTCAGTACATAAACCCCCTAACCCAGGGTAGCTGCTCGCTCCCTCCCCACCCCTAGGTTACTGATAAGGGAAACCTGCAAAAAACATTTGCTTGTTCTACATGAGACAATTTAAATAAAGGGAAGGTTGGAAGTTCTTTCATTGTTCATTTTTCCAGTGCCACTTTTCCAGTTGCTGATTGATATTTTTGTGCCATAGGCACACACTCCTAAGTGTTACTACTGCTTTGCACACACTGCCGTTCATCCAAAGAGTTCTTACTGTTTAGGTATTTGTATACCATGTTTTCCAACCCTCCTCTCTCTCACATTAATGATATTAAGGAGTTGCCTGTAAATACTTTCGAGAGGACAAACAGAAAGATATATTTCTGTTGACTGGCTATTGCAAAGAGATGCAGCATACTATCAGCACTGCTCTGCAGCTAGTTTTAGAACCTCTCTTATCTGGCAGTTATTATACGTAGAAGCTTACACACTTCCATTTTACTATTGACAAACAGATGCTAGGGCCTGAAGTAACTGAAAACAGTCTACAAGTAATTCATAGGAGATGAATCCCTCAAGAGTGAAACAGACTTTACATTTACTCTTTGGGAATTAACGGCCTCTGTAATTCAGGGCTTGCCAGAGATGTTATAGCATGGGCTATAACAATTAGGAAGTGCTGGTGACAACAAAACTCTTCCGCCCAAGAGGCAAAGTCTGGCCTGGGGGACCACTTGTATCCCAATCCTGTTATTTTAGTGGAAAAAAACAACAAACAAGAAAGATTTCAAGTAAGGAGTCTTTCAGATAGATTTCAAAATAAAAAGCCTGACAACATGCGACCCTTTTAGGTCTGAGGACGTTAACTTGGAGAGTTGGCCAAATTTTAATTTGAGTAATGACATTCCATCTATATCAATCCCTGGATAAGTTCTTTACTTTCTGTCCTGAAACTGTTGCTATGAGCTATTGAAAAATTGTCACCTTGTAGGCCACAGATATTTGCATTTCAGTAGTGGATGTAGTGATTTGTATATGTTAGTTTGTGTTAGTAAAGCTCTTTGGGATGAAAGGTATATAAATACAATAACATTGTGCGGCTACACCTCTCAAGTACATTTTAATATTAAAATACTTTCCAATATGGCTAAGCTGTGAAATCTGGAGATCAAATCTGGCTTCAGTTGCAGAGAAAAGTTTGGTAATATTAATTCTGTTCTGGTGGTCATTTGTTCATATTATAAAACTATGTAACAGTTCAAAATAATCAGTTCTGAATTAGAGTAGCTGAAAAGTCTGGTTGGTCCATGAGGTGCACTGACATAACTGCATGAGGATTTTGCCACAACAGCTTCTTGGCAACACTCAGTTTTTCACCAGTGTGTGTGTCACTAAACAAATTTTTTTTTTAAAGTATACATTTTATCAGTTACCAACTTACTCGTCAAATATAGCAAATGATGTAGCAACTGGATGCTTTCTGATATTCAAAGGATTTGTCTGTTTTAAATCAACTTCTGCCAAACCAGTTTCTTCATTTATAGTAACCTTTGGCAACTGTACTGAAAGAGAAGAGGCCAATTAATCGTATGATATTAAACTAGCTGAAGATAATTTGGGCTTTATCCCCAAAGGAATACTTTATGAACTGTTCTATGTTAACATCCACCAATCTCTATGGGACTGAGCAACTGCAATTCCTATTGACTGCAGGTCCCAAATCAGACAATGTGGGACACCTGTTTTCTATAAAAATAACAGATGCCACTCTTATCCTTTTTGAGCCCATTATTTTGTTCTGAGTCAGTCAAAAAAAAAAAAAAATTAAAAAAAAAAAAAAAAATTAAAAAAAAAAAAAAACCCCCACCATACTGACGCTTTCTACATTGCAAGTACATTATCTGTACCACGTTGAACAAAAAAAATCCCACAATAGCATGTCTTTTTCCTATCACTATATCACTTCTCTCTATTCCTCTATGATCCTGCTTTATGATCTCTTCAATTATAAATGTGAACATGTATTAAATAAAAACTTAGTTTTCTTACACTAAATAACACGAACAGGTAACACTTCATTTAGATGTTGGTGTATTGAATATTACAATTTTGCTTATGATCAATAGTGGAGTGTCCAAACTTCTGGTACGCTGAAGGCAAATACCATTGCTCTGAAAAACTAAGGTATCTGGCAGAATGGCTATCAGTCCTATAATAGATTAATACAATGTGCAAGAAGCATATGTAAGCAAGGTAGCCCACAGCCTGATCAATAACATGTATACAAATCTATGACATCAATTTAGTGACATATTTCTTCTTTGTATTATTGCTTCAGTAGTTCAATAAAAAGATGGGGGTTTTAGCTGCTGAAATATTCTGTTCTTGGGGAAATTAAAATCATCATGATTCAGATTCCTAACAACACATTTATCCCATGAATGTAATTTGCTTAACAATTGTGTGTTATAGGACACTTACCATTTTTTAAAGCTGCTAACAAAGCAAATGTGCAGGCATCCAAAATGTTTCCATCATAGTCCAAGCATATGAAATCGCAGTATAGAACCCAAGCAAGCTAAGAAACAAAGTTTGCATGTGTGAGATCTGATATATCCTTTGAACTGCCGGTATCACACTAATTTGGGTTACAGGTAATACACATTAAGCTAGAGAACCATCCTCTGATCCTTTAATAACAAATATGAATACATGGCCTCTGAGCTCCCCACAACCCAATTCACTAAGCATAGCACCAGATTATTAGGATTGATATTGAGAAGT